GCTGCCCCCGCGACCCGGCAACGGATGAAGCGGAGGAAAATGGATGGATGGATGGATGGAATCTTTATCTATCATTTTTGAAGCAAAAAAACTACCTACCTATATTATACTTATATCAACTAATCCTCCAAAAGCATTTTGCTGTATTGTAGTCATTTATGACGACAGATATCCATCAAAGGTCATGACTAAAAATTAAGATAACAAAGTCTTGAAGAATAATGAAAAAATGAAAAACATAGTGGAAAATAAATTACCGTAAATACCCACTGTATAGAATTTGATACAGACAATTTCAACATGGCTTTTACTATAAATTAAGTTGTAAAATATTTTAAAGTTTTACATTGTATGAATCCTCTAAACATTGCCCTTGAAGAATCAGTAACATTTTAAAAGTTTTTCTCATCTTAAAAAGTTTCAATTTGAAATTATGTTCAATGAGTGTGTGTTGACGTCTCACTCGCATCCCTTTAGAGCCCAAATTACTGACCTCTGGTGGATGGACATGTGCATTACAAGTGTCTAATCGTATACAATGGGTTTTTTGAGAAAAAAAAATCACACAATTATGGAGGGAGCTCAGAAATTCATGTATCAAATATGATTCAAATGGCGATAATTTTTCTCCAGCGCAGAGCTACAGTGCTAACACGCAAACCGCGGGTGTTGAGTCATTTTGAAAGCTCCCTATTGCTAACAGTCTCCCTCTGTTCTGACCCTCGCTCTCACAGTGTGGTGCTGTGGCAATAACACTTCAGACGGTCAAGAATCAGTCTTTATTTAATCTCCAGAATACACCAACACACACACACACATATCCTGCCTGCCTCCGGTCGCTCTGCTCGTACGCCACACTTTTCATTCTTTCATTCTCATTCATTCATTTTCCAGCGCTCACGTGTCACACATTGCTCTCATTGCTCTGATACAAACAACACGTTGCGTGCTCGAGCAGTTAGCAGCAGTAGCAGAATGTAAACAGGAAGAGAAACAGAAACTTAACTCGCACCCGTACTTAAGTTAGTATTAGCGCCACCAGCTGGACCGAGCGTTGTACTACAGCACAGTTGCTCTGGCACGGTTGAAAGAACAAGCATGAAAACGGAGGAGGAGGCTTTTGTAAAAGACTTTCTCCGTTATAACAATTGTATTTTGAGTAATCATTAGTTTTAAAAATGTGATATTTAATGTAAATAATGCATGTGTTTAATACGATTGATATATTTGCTATGGCCCTCGTTTGTGCGTTTTAAGTTATTTTGAAGGTGCATTGTGTCACTTTAAGAAGACTGTTAAGTGCATTTTCACTGTTTACAATGGCAGGGCCATCTCGTTTACGAACATGTTTTAAGACTTATTTCCTGTAACACTTATGCTCCATGGGAAAATTTAGATTGAACTGTATAAAGGAAAATCTATTTCTTTGTCAGTTGTAGTTTGTTTTTAAATAGAAAAAAATAATCCATTAAAATTTGGTGTGAAAGAATCAGAGATTTATTTTTTTTGCCATATTGCCCAGCCCCACCTTTAACCTAACTTGTGTGAAGGGTCCCGGGTTTTCTATGAAGTAAGATTACTTGATAGAAAGCATCAGTGCCAAGATCAGTGCCGAGACAGAGACGCCTCTGACCAACGTTTGTCGTCTTCCCAGGTTTCATATGGGCTTTGGATTTGTTCAGTTTGGTCTCCTATATATACTTATAGCTTATATTAATATCTTCTCTGATGTTCTTGCAATTAAGTGCGCATATATAGTGCATTTCGAGACTCACTAAGTACTCGTCTATGTGTGTGTATTTTATATGGTTGCTTTTTTAAATTTTTTTATGATTTTCTTGTATTTTTGTTTTGTTTGCATCTGTTTTGCTGTATCTGTCCCTTTGTGAAATCTTGTGGACCCTTCTCTAAATAAATAAATAAAGAAACTCGTCGCATCCATGCTTTTGTATGTGCAGTTAAATCTTCTTGCCACCCAGCGAGTGATGCATGCGCACGCGGATGTAAACAAAGATCCAAAGTGATTCCTGAATTTCTCATTCTCAGCGCAATGATTTATTTATTTGTTTTCAATTGTGGTCATGATAATGCACAATTACATTTCAGAAAATTATAGTCCAGTCACACAAAGGAAAAATAAACAGGAAAAAAAAACATATTTTGCCTGCCTTTCTTTAAATCATGTACATATTAATTAGAAAAAATATGTTGACTCGTTGAAAAAAGCATTTTTAATGATTTTGCTAAATTGTGGGAGCACTAATAAAAATAACAACAAATAATTTGTTTTAATTTATCAAACCCCTAGTTTTTAATTATTGGCCTCCACCAAATGGTTGAGATGTAGCTTGATGGTAAAAGTCCTTCATACCAAGTGGGAGAGATGCCCACATGAGGTAGATTTCAGTTCCAAGCTTCAAGCAAGTAGATACAGTGGCTGATGTCTCTTTGGTGTTCCCCAAATGGTTGAGCAAACCATTAAAGGATTAAAGACGGACTGGATTTTTTAAATTTCTATTTATTCTTTATTTGGTTGGGACTGTGCATGTTAATTGTTGCCTTGGGCTAATTTCCATCTGTTGTCTCACAGTAACAGTAACAGTCACAAACACACACTCATTCACCCTGAACTATTGTACATGTTTTTAGTGGTAGGGGAAACCGGAGCTCCTGGAGAAAACCTAAGCAGACACGGGGAGAAAATGCAAACTATATATTTTCTCCCTATTTTTTATCATTGATTTAATTGTTGTTGTTTTGATTCTTCTTAAACATGTGGACTTTCGAAGAGCTTTCTTATTTCATAATTGAGTTGATTCCAGTGTCTTTGGGTGGTTCTGGCAAAAGGGACAGAGCTTCCTTCTGCTGTTCTGGTTGGATTGGAGTGACTACTTAACTTAAGGTCAATAAAAAAATATGCAGGACAAATAGAGACAATAAATACAATCAAAATCTGCAAGTCCTGCCAATATGAGAATAACTGCTGTAAACATATCATAATTTATAGTATTAGGTCCCATTTCAAGCTCTTTTCATAACTTGCGTGTGGACTGGTATATTCACAACACAGTACCGCAGCACAGATGTTATGTTTTGTCTCTGCATTTATGAGCTTCTCTTTACTTTCTAAATGATTCAATATTAAAAAAAAAATGCACCTTACACAAAAGCTCAAGCGCAGTTTCAGAGCAGAAGGCATTAGAATTAAAGTATCCACACCATTAGGAGGTGAGCTGGAGCAGAGCGCAGCAGCGTGGGAACCATTGCGTTGACACTAGAACGTTCCACGGCCTCATTACGGCTGCGACTGGCCAGAGCTGCTGGAATATGGAGCCAGCAGCCATGAAGCCCCTGTCACTTCTCCTCAGCCGCCGCCCGCCCCCATGTGTGCGCCTGTGCATGTAGAACGGGATGAATGGGGAATATGAATTTTGACTTTTGGGAACACAGACGGCGCATTCGTTCAAGCTTGAGAATTCTATACAGACATGAGAAAGAATGGAACATATTGAATTAGAAAGGCATTATAATTTATGTAAGAGGGATCTTCTCGGACAAGTCTTCTCTGCTCTAAATTTGGCAGCAATGGTTTATGGATGAGGCGAAATGATGAATGTTCAATAGAACTGGTTTTAATTATGTAGTTGGTTTGTTTTACCCTTGAGTAATATCACAAAAACACAACAAAATGGCATTTAGCTTGGGATGGGTTTAAAGTTGTTTGGCTCTGAACATTACAGATCCTGTTTTTAATCTTCAATGTGTTATCCCATTCTAATTGCATAAAAATGGGTAAATACATTAGCATGCCTTGTTCTTCTCCATTGTATAATAAAAAAAAACTAAAATGAAATACAGATCAAGAGATTAAAAGTGATCCGTTAAAAAAGAAATCATGCGTGCTGCAACCCGTGGACCGTCACAATGGGCAGCATTATGTTGGTGTTTTGTTGAGTTTTAAAGGAATAGTTCACCGTTTTTACATACTGACATATTTTCTTACCTTACCTTAGACTAGTTAATACGTACCTGTCTGGTCTTAGTCCGTGCGCTCTGTCATGCAAACGGAGCAAAAACGGGAGCACAACCGCAGCCTCCTCTGTATATTTTGTAGCACCAAAAGGTAGCTCCGCTGAGAAAATCGACTGTTACATTTCTGTGTTACTATACTTTGCAGTGTAACACGTCACGTAACTATATACATTTAATAGGGAACACTTGGAAGAGTTTGGTAGCTTCTAGCGGGAGCTACCTTTTGGTGCTACAAAATATACAGAGGAGGCTGCGGTTGTGCTCCCGCTTTTGCTCCGTTTGCATGACAGAGCGCACGGACTAAGACCAGACAGGTACGTATTAACTAGTCTAAGGTAAGGTAAGAACATATGTCAGTATGTGAAAACGGTGAACTATTCCTTTAATGTATTAATAATAATAATAATAATACATTTTATTTATATAACACCTTACATTTTCAGGAAACCTCAAAGTGCTACAGATTAAAATCCAATGCAGACATAATGTTTGGATGGATTATTTTTTGTTGGTTTTTTGTCATCCTTGACCTGTGTGCGTGTGCTTGTGTGTGGGTGTGTGAGTGTGTGTGTGTGTGCAAGTGTGTATGTGTATGTGCTTAGGTGTGTGTATATTTAAAGGTTTTTTTTTTTATATGAATAATGAAAAAATAGAAATTGATAACACAAAAATAATCTTGTACTCACATGACCTGACCCTAGCTGTCTTGTGACCAAATGGGCTTGTGTGCACCATGTGACCTGTATCATATTTGTGTAGAATAACAGTCCCAGTGTATCCATCCATCATGTGTTGTCAGACCCCATCCAATAACCCAAAGTGTAGCATCCCCTTCGATGAGAGGATCCTCTAACTGACCCAGAACCCATAACCATGAGTCAACTCCTGTGGGGATGAGATGCCCGCTCTTCATTTGGCCACACAAATACACACAAGCACACACGCACACACCCCCTTCCACAGACAGCATGCCACATGTGAAAACACTCACCACACATTGCACCAGAGAGTCCGCCAAAGACTCTTCTCCTTTATGTCTTCACTGGAGCATGTTTCTGGCTGCTTGCTTTTCTTCGCCTCTGTCTCGCCACTACCTTCTCCCCCTCCCAGCAGACCCCCCTCTCAGCGCCGTGGTCCAGGTCCAGCTCTGTCGCCGGTGGGGGGAATCCAGGCAATGCGCGCACACATCGACCAAGCAGCACATGCACACAGCTCTTGGCGACGTTTTGACGGCTCACGGTTTGACACACAGCCGTCTTCAGATCCTGGCGAATTCCAGACGCACTCCTCGAGAGAGAGAGAGCCCACACCCCCGCACGGCAGCCACACACAAGCACAGCTGGTCTGGGCTGGCAACTGTATGAGGTTGTATGTCGTTGCTGCTGCTGCTGCTTGTCGAAAGAAAGTCTCTATGGTGTCACTGGGAGTTTGGAACAATCACCCATCGTGACTTATTAAGTCATCGAAACAAAAACGAATTATGCACGCCTGCTGCTAAAGGATCCTCTGATGCACACCGTCACTTTTATTTCCTCAAGCCATGGCCGTCCTTCAGCAGAGTCGTGCTAATGAGACCATTTCAGAGCTGCTTTATAGTCCAGAGATTGAAGGAACACTTGGTGATGACACTATTAATGCTTGGCCGTAAGATAGATGCCAGATATTGGTCCAAGACATGAATCAGCAAAAATGGCATCACTCTTAAGTCTTAAGTTAAAAGAATTTTCTTACTGTTGATACGCTGCTTTATTGCTCCGTGTTTAGACAGCATCTGCAGATTTGTTTGCGGTCATCCCACCTGGAAACTCTTGAGCAGAAGCCTCCAAAAAAAAGTGTGCGAGCTGCGTTCTCTCCGCTCTCTTCTCTTCTGCGTGTTGAAAGCTGCTTCCCAGAAAAGCCTGTCAGCATCAATATTTAACAGGAACCTTCTCGCTAGGTTGCCGTCACAGTCCAAGTCTTCAGCCGTGGACGATGCACAGTTTCCAGCCTATCCAGTTTTCCTTCTTCTCAAGCCTTCTTGCTCTTCTTTTCCCCGCTCTCTTCCAGTGACGCCTTTCAATTCAATTCAATTCAATTTAATTTATTCTTGTATAGCCCTAAATCACAACAGCAGGGATCTCAGAGGACTTAAGAAAACTGTTGAAATTTGCCAACAGAGATCAGATAATCAAACAGTTCAAACACAAAGGTTAGAAAACACATAGGAATTGGTCCATAAGTGTCCATAAATGTTGATAAATGTCCATAAATGCAACCCCAATTCAATCTTCCAGGAGCAGGTCACAGTTTGGTCTGATCTTCCCCGATGGCTGATGTCCTTCACTTGTGCAGTCCCTCAAGCCAAAGTAACTCCACGCTGATTCACTCGGCCCATTTCTCACTCACGGCATTCTCTTGCGCTTTCACGTCTTTGCTGACTTCTTCCCCTGCTGTCTGTACTTCCCCACATACCTCTGCTCTTGTCTGCAGAAAGCGCTGTCTCCTTGTTGCAGAGCTCTGACTCATTCGCTCTCCTCCCCTCCTTCCCTCCCCAGGAGCTCAAAGATGTTGACGGGACTCTGTTGTCCCTTCTTCGCCTCAGCTGTCTCTCTAAAAAGACACGTTCCGAGGGAAGGACATTTCTCAGATTGACATTATTAGTGCTGGGATGGTCTTTCCACTCCAGGTTTCTTCTTCGTGAGTGTCTTTACCCACTCTAGTCATGGCCCCAAAGAGAACATAAGCACAGAAGTGAGGAGAAATAGCTGAAAAGACGGAAATGAAATGATGCCCCGGGGTTGCGTTGAAGCGACAGCAGAGAGACGACGTGGATGGGGATGAGGGGGTAGAATGGGGGGGAGATGGTTTGTTGGATGTTGTTGAGGAGGAGGCGGGGCGTGGGACATCAGGGAAGGAGATGGATGGGTGCATGTGTGATGTGGATGTGTGGATGCGTGGTTTGACAAGTCAGTGTTGTGAAAGAAAAGTCATTCAGGATGTTTACATGCACCAGGCTCGCTGCAACAGTCCTCACAACAAGATGCTCATTACCTAACTAACACGCAGAGGGGGCAGAGTACTGTTAGAACAACATTTTAATAAGGTTCATTAGTTTACTCACAGCTCAGACATGCTTGACTAACCTTGTATAGATGTGCGCATGTGTGTGTGTGTGTGTGTGTGTGTGTGTGTGTGTGTGTGTGTGTACAGTATGTGCGAGCCTTGAGTCCTCAGGAAATGTGATTACATTTTAAGTCTGGTCTTGTGAATTATTTATTGAGTTATTGTTTTATGTGATTGGGACAAGTGTACACAATCAACCTGTAAAATTTACAGTCAAGGCTAATTTGCATTGTTCGTCCCTCGATTAAGATAAGATAAGATAAAATAGAATTTATAGATCTCACACAGGAGAAATTTACATGTCACATTTGGCATAGATTGAATCGCTCAGATTTGTGCAAAAGACAGAAGTGTGCAAACATGTTAAAGGCAAAAAATATAGTCTGTTCAGGAACTATTATGTACAATAAAAAGTGGCAATAGCAAAGGAAAACTACACTTGCTGTAGTTTGAAATGTTGCATAAACCTGAAAACAAAACATTATCAAATGGAAATGTGCAGATTTATTCTCTGAACTATCATTATAATTTCTTCAGTATTTAGCAGAAATAAATTGGCAAGTGTTTTCAGTCTTATTTTGTTTGTATATGAGTGCAAATTTGGGAATAATATAACACAATGTTAAAACTGCTTCATAATGTAACATACTAAACCTTTACCAAATGTCAACCACGAGAAAGGTGACATTTTCAAGATGGGTATAATCTCTTTTTTTACATTGTGGAATCATCAGAGCCTCAGCATCCCATTCCCACGCTGCATTTCCATAACAACACATCCCTTTTCAATCACTGTTCACCCTATTCAAATCGTAGTTCATGAAGCAACCTAATCTTTTCATTGTTTGACTATTTTCCTGTGTGTGTTTCCTGCCTCACCCTGGGCCCCTTACAAAGAACTCTAAGCTTTTCATTTGACTTCTCCAAAATGACATGATCACTGACAAGTTTACACACTTATGGAAGACATGTTTTTTTTAATAAGATTTCAGCTTTGTTTTGGAGTGAACAGACTGAAGTGATGTCAGTGATTAAACCTGTTTTTACATTATTTTGACCATACATAGTTTTCCATCACGTGCGTATTACCCATGATGCTTTGCGCGAACGGCATTTTGGGAGTCAAGCTTATATTGCACGTATCATTTGTCACGGATCATCTGTCCGCATGTCATCTAAAGCCACGAATTTGTCCGACACTGACCGCGTTAAGTATATTGATGCACTGGAGTAATCTGTGAGGCAAGATCCTTTGAGAATCGGGAGATTTGGATCCATATGAAACGCGACGAGACCAGTGGACTTCCCAGAAATGGCTTACTTTCACTTAACAATTTTACAATTAAAAAAACGTCATGATGTATATGATGCAATATTTCTTTCAATTAATATTTTATTTTGAACGAAGCAGTCGCAAATCACTTCTGTCTACCACCCTTTCCCCCCCCCCCTCCCCCTCTCATTCATTTAGATGGGAGGCTCGAGGCGCCTATATAGACTTAGTATCACAGTCAAATCGCAGCTCTATAACAGCTATAACAGACCTTATAGTGCCGTTTTCCAGGTGTTAGGGTTGAATCCCTCTGGTTGATCCTCGCCAACTAAGGAGTCATTTCTCCGTCCCGAGTCAGTCCCCTGGCTCGTAATAGCCTTCGGAATGTCCCCACAATCTACGCTGTTACTGCACCCCCAAACGATGCAGGCAGTTGGCATGTTTCAGCGCAAAAAAGTGATTTGGCCCGATTTGGTTAGCTACAACTAGCGGCGGCTAGACTCCCAAAATGGCAAACTGCGTAATTGTGGCTAGTGCGTGACGTCAGTGGAAAACTATCTATACGGACTAATTATCAGAACAGATAAGAATGATTTTTCATGAAGCTGAGGCTCTGGTGTGGTTCTTAAAATGGCATTATTTCAAATCTGTATGTCAGTAATGTAATGTTTGCATGTACAGTATGTGCACGATACACCTGCTGTCTTTTGCTTGAAGACTTTATGTTACCAAGCCGCAAAAAATATTTATTCATGAATTCTCATTTAAGCATTGGCAAGAATGGAAAAAGAGAAAGTTTTAATGATGTTATTCTTACTTGCAAATGGCTTTCTGTCCTGAGTTATAGTTATCCAATTGCATGCTCATTCAAAATAACCTAAGCATGAGGGCCACTGCTTGCTTCTCTGAGGTGTCGGACACATTATCGATCCACTTGAATCATGCAAAGATTGTAAAACGTTTTCTCATGGGCATTACATAATGTCTCAAATGCAGAGGATAAATTGGATACAATACAGGTAAAACACATACTGTATAATAACAACATTCCCTGTAAGTAACCTATTATTTGAATATGGTGTTTAAACTTGATTGCATTGCTTTTTGCTGTAATTTTACCTCCGTCATCGATTCTGTCTTCTTATGTACTGCCTTCTGCAATCACTGAGCTGCAGCCCCCACCACCACAAAACACAGTCAGTTCATTGCCTCATTCTCTCCATTTGAGGCCTCTCCCTCTTCTAGTCCTCTTGCTTTCTCTCCCCCCGCTCCTTATTCTTTTTTTCCTCCATTCTGCATTTGCTAAAAGAACCTTCTACAACATGAGGAGTGGACAGCCTGTAACAAACGAAACGGAAAGCTTGGAGGATATGTTAACACCATCGGTAACCCAGACGTGATATGAATAATGCATTAGTGGTATGTACCGTGCATGAAGGCACGGTTAGCGTCTGTGTGTCATGTAGATACACAAGCATGAGGAATGGTTACCTGAGTATTGTTGATACTAAATCACAGCGCACACAAAAGCCATCGATAATGAAGGAGGAGTGAGAGGCGAGCTGCAAAAATCGATGAAACATTGAACACTATAGAGCCATATGAACGCTCATGCTGGAAATAAAGAGCCTCTGCTAAGGGACAAAAATAGCAAAGCAGTTTGACAAATGGTATTGTAAATCATTGAGCGTATAAATGAAACATCAGAACCATTACGGATGTGTGAAGAGGGGCAAAATGAAGTGTTGGGGCTGTCCTTTTGGCCCATCTCACCGTGGCATTCAAGACTTTTTACCGTTCAAAAATGATTGCATGCCATCAGGGGTCTGTTGGTACATTTGTAGAACCACCGAAAGTATAGTGTAGAGAAAAACTCAGAATAGGAAATTGAAGAGTCTTCAATTAAAGCAGCTCTGTTTGTGTACAAGTCTCTCTATGGCCTCGCACCAAATTACATCTTAAGTTCACCAAAGTTGGTTCATATGGCCATGTTAGTGCCAAATGAACCAACTCGGACTCTGAGGAGCATAGGGACTGGCCTCCTGCTGGAGCCCAGAGTCAGGACTAAACATGAGGAGGCAATATTTCAGATTAATGCTGCTAAAAACTGGAACAGTCTTCCAGAAAATGTGAAACAGGCTCCTACCCTGACAACTATGCTATACAAATAAACTTGCCTTGCCAATAGTTTGAGTTGATAATCTCCAAAGCTCTGCTCTGCTCTGTGTACTGGGTGCAGCTCTGACTGCCACCCTCCGACCCAGAAATGGATTAAGGGAAACAAAATGGATGGATGGATCTCCAAAGCTGGAGGTGTTGCTGGGTTTCACTTGTCTGTACAGCACTTTGATAAGTCAACAAATATTGATTCACTGAACGCAAACAAAACATGATGGGCAATATAGAATATACTGTATAGACAGTGTGGAGTGTGATATGCTTTGCCAAGATGGAGGTTTAGGCTGTGTCCACACGGCAATAAAACAGCTCATGGTTTTGAAACCATATTGCGTTAAGACGGAACAAGCTCTATTAATGTATCTAGTTTAGTTAGTTTAGTTAGTTTGGGCGACAGTAGCTCAGTTGGTAGAGCATTGGCCTTAAGCCCAGAAGGTCGTGGGTTCAATTCCCACCTCTGCACCTTCTCCACCGACTCCCACTGATGACTGCTGTCGTTGTGTCCTTGGGCAAGACACTTAACCCCACTTTGCCCAAAAGCTCCCACTGAAAGATCAAGGCTATGCTCACACTCAGAGAGCAGCCGTCCTCCTGTGGACTCACCACCTGCAGAGGGTCAGTGAGGGGCTGGTGCTATGAGACTTGGGTGGCATCTCTGATTGCCACCCCCCTGACCCAGAAATGGATTAAAGGGCAGAAAATGGATGGATGGATGGATGGATGGATAGTTAGTTTATTTTTTTCTTCGGCCAATATGTACACCCGACCTCGGGTCACACGGATACAGAGCTCACATTTACTTTTTACAACAAGAAAATAAAAATAAAATGAAAAAAAAAGAACCAAAATGTGTCCATAAAGGACCTTGTGCGAAACAATACCTGACCGAAAGGGTTTAGGCTGAAGTCGAAACTTATACTGCCTAACCCCTAATACAATGTGAAAATACGTCCAAAGATGACAAATTATACAGTTTCTCATATACCAACAATGGTAACATGAAGCACCAAAAAATTGCACTTGAACAAATCAAAATTATGTTATACATGATCAAAATTGTAAATGACACAACATACAGTTTCTCATATACCAACGATGGTAACATGAGGCACCAAAAAATTGCACTTCAACAAATCAAAATTATGTTATACATGATCAACATTATAGGTGACACAAAATACAGATTCTCACACACCAACGATGCTAACATGAAGCACAAAACATGAACTTCCATAAACACGAGTTATTAAGCATAGTCCAATTCAATTGTCCTATACTTCTCCATAATATTTGACTTATACTTTTTTTTGAATGTTTTAATAGTTCTTGAGCCCTTAAGTTGAACAGATAGACTGTT